TGTGCTCTAACTTCTCATTTTCCTTTACAAGACTGAGGCTGGCATTTCTCAAAGCATCTTCATGGCAGGAATTTGCTAAGACTGCGTGTGTCTGTACAGGTGGTCTCATTCCCTACTACAGGATGGACCCCTATGGCACACTGGAAAGTCCTTTTACTTTCTGTTTTTTTTGTATTACACTTAAAATATACCCTTGCAAAGGTCTATTTAAAGTTTTTGCTGTTCTTACTTTGCCTCTGTGGAGCTACCAGGCGTTTTGTAAAACAACCCTAATCCAGTGTTTTATGTGTTTGCTGGCAAAAGAGCAAGGCTGCCATAGGGAAGGGATCTCTTGGAAGTAGGTTCCAGCCCAATTTTTTCTCTCTCCCTCTTCTTCCCCAGTCTTTGGTGTAGCCAGTGAGTCACCAGTGACAAAGTCTTAATTGCGTGTGATGATGAATGGGATGCCCTACAGGTAATTGCTTGGTCTTTGGTGCCTTCACATCCATTCATTATAGAGGATAAGGGTGGGGAGAAAGCTGGTGGACTCTGATGTTGCTTGTGAATGCTGTGGCCTGGCTCTGAGATGTATAACTGGAACAGCCATGCTAATTAACTCACATTACCATCTGCTTCAGAAGAGGGGGTAGGCTTTAGCCTTTCTTCCCCCCTAGTCCTAGCTGTGAAAATGCCCAACTGTTACCCTTCAGTGCAAGCCTCAGGCTATGCTCTCTGCCTGCCTAGTGTATTTATTATTTTTTCCTTTTGTCTTCTTTGTATTCCTGTTGTGTTTTTTTTTTTCTTTCCCCTTGGTTTCTGGTGCACCTCTCCTCCTTGCAGCCAGCTCCTGCCCCGCAGGCAGCAGAAGGGGAGGTGGGGCTGCGGGAAGGTGTCTTAACTTGACTTGCGGGGAGAAGAAGCACAACCACGGGGAGCTGTGCTGCTGCAAAATGCTGGAGAAACAGCTGGTCCCGGGTGGGGAAGCAGGAGGCTCGCTTGTGCTAAAGCTGTGCAAGCTGTGCTCCTTCACACCTTGCCTCCTCGGCTCACCTGAGGTGTCGCGGCCGCAGGTGGCCCCAGACTGGCGCTTCGGAAAGGGGGGGGCTGCCTCATGTGGCACTGTGGTGGAGCAGATGTCTGTGTCGATAGCGGGATTCCTGTAAGATCAGAGATGGGGAAGGCTGCCTGTCACAGCTACCCTTCCCTACCATCTGAGCTCCCTCTGCTTGCTGGTTGACTGCCATCTCCCTCGAGAAGAGAGCTCATACCGACAGGGCTGCGTACAACCGAGCAGTCAGCTTTTCCAGAAGGCTTCTGCTGGGGCTGAAACAGCCTGTGCAGATGGCTTTGAAGGCGTTTTGCTTTCTCAGCCCCTCTTCTTACCCCTGCCCAGCAGCTTGGACTTGGAGAGGGATGGTAGCCGGCGTCTAAGTTATGGCTTGTCCTTTGGCTGCTGTGGCATTGCTTAGTGCTGGAAGATAAATAAGTGTGTGAGCATGTGGGTGCATCTCCAGCTAACGTCTCTGTGTCTGGGAGCAGTTAAGGGCATGTGTAACTTCCCAAGAGGAGCTGTCACAGCAGTGGTTGTACCTGGGGTGGTTTTTGGTCTCGGATATGCAACAGAACAGGGCTCGCCTCGGCGATAGGCAGTGGCTGATGTTTGGATCACAGGAACTGCTGGGCTGGGTGGAAGCTGAGCCTCTTCAAGCCCAGAGTCCTTCTCCAAGGTGGGCAAATATTACACCTGAAGGATAAGGTGTGAGAAGTAGGAGAATCTGAGGATAAAATACACTCCTAAACTTTGTTCTTAACCTTCAGTTGCACCTGTAGGGTACAAGCAATGCTAAATTCATTCCCTTTTTCTGCTTGACCAGGTGAATGTTGTGCTGAGCAGGAGGGTCTCATCCAGCCTCCTTGCTGCTCTGGTGGGGTGAATGGTCCTGTTCCCTTGCCCCAGCACCAGTAGCTGCCTTCTCGTAGTTGTGGAGGGGACAATGTGTGGGAGTTGGGCTCAAGGGTGTTGCAGTCCTTGAAGCCTCTTGGTCAGCATCAGGTCTTTGTGTCTTCTGTAGCCGTGAATGTTGTGCTGAGCAGGAGGGTCTCATCCAGCCTCCTTGCTGCTCTGGTGGGGTGAATGGTCCTGTTCCCTTGCCCCAGCACCAGTAGCTGCCTTCTCGTAGTTGTGGAGGGGACAATGTGTGGGAGTTGGGCTCAAGGGTGTTGCAGTCCTTGAAGCCTCTTGGTCAGCATCAGGTCTTTGTGTCTTCTGTAGCCGTTGAGTAATGGGCTGGAGGTATTTGGCAAAGAGTCTCTCTGTTCCGACGGTCTCAAAGAAGCCCACAGGGAACCACAATGCACTCGAAGGGCCGTGCAGGGCAGAGGCCAGCGAGCTGCAGCTGCAGATAACTATGAAAATGGTTCATTCTAGAGTGGCATAATAAAGGGCTCTGTGCTTTCATCAACTCTAACAAGTCCCTCCACCCACTGCAACCCCTGTGTCGAGCACAGGAGCCATAGTGTGAACAGCTGGGTACTTGTCTGCCACCCCCCTGTCCCCCAAGGTCAGGAGAGCCCTGTCTGTGCACCAGAGCATCTTTTCCCTGCCCCTCGTGTTCCCTTCGGAATTGCACTCTTCAAGCCCTTACGTGCGTGCCTGTTTCGGAGAGCGGATCGAGAGCCCCCTTATCTCTGAGCCACCACCTCCCTGGCTGCTCTGGTGCTGGGCACGGTGTGCTGAAGTGCTCTCAGGGCGCTGAGGAGAGCTGGAGAATGCAGGTGACTGAGCACTCGGGCTGCGCTAGGAGGGGAGATGCTGGCAGAGAGCGTGATAAAGCACGCTCTGAGCATGCCAGGCCGGGGATGCCTGCGGTCACGGTAATACCCATGCAGGGCAGCAGCCACCCTCGCTAGAGAAACTCCCTTGCTCCAGGCCGAAACCTCAGGCAGCTCCCTGATGAGCTGTTCCTATTACATGCGACTCGGCTCTGGGTCGTGTTTCCCCTGCAACAGCCTCGCAGCAGGAGGGTTTCTGACCTACTGGGAGCGGATGGGGACATGTCTCTGGTGTCCTGTGTATGCTAGAGATACATTTCAGGGCTGCTGCTTCCCTCCTTTTTATTTATTTTTTTTTTGTCTTTTGTGGAGAGTGTGGCACTGGAGAGAGGCTGGCTTGCAGTTCTGTGCAGATCTCTCCTTTTTTGGGCAGGGGGATGAGCCAGCAGCGAGGTCCAAGGAGACTGCTCTAGAACCACTGGCAGCGGGACTGACTCTTGTGGGCAGGACTTAATTTTCTTCCAGAGGCTCGGATGCATATAGGCTTCTCCTGCCAAAATTCATGTGTTTTAGCAAATCCAGTCTGCTGGATTTATAGCAACGTAAGTTGCCTTTGACATTTCTCAGTTACCTGCTCTGCTTTTTGTTTTCCCGAGGTACCAGTGTCTTATCAGAGCCACAAGACTCCTGGTTTCATTCACCTAACCCGGCTGCCTCCTCCTGACCCTGCTTTAAGGCTCCTGTGCCACTGCTACAGCCTCGCCTGGGGATGGACATTGCTCTCTTCAGCTTTGCACCCTGATTGGGGGCTTTCAGCCATTTAACGTTCCCTTCAAAGCTTTATTTATTTATTTATTTTTAAATTCAGAAGGGTTTTCTTCTCCTCTGATACATTTCACTGCTGAGCTTTTTGTTGCAAGTCAGGCTATCTCTGAGAGAACTGCACCAGCTGGAGTCTGTCACCTTGAATGAGGTTGCCTGGGATTGGAAAGGGGATTCCTTTGGCAAGGCTGAGACTCGTGTGCTGCCCTTCGTGGGGCTTGGATCGTGTCCTGATGCTGTGCCCGTGTTTGCAGAGGTCGGGCTTCCAGCTCATGTGGAAAGGGTCAGTGGTGACCCTTTCCACATGGGGGAAAGGTGAGGTGGATCTCACTTCTGTCCAAGCATCCAGTGGATTGCTATGAATTTGAATTCTCTATTAGTAATGAGCAAGACTGGGTCAGTTCTGATTATTTTTTTTCTCAGTAATTTGTAAAAAATGGTTGAGGCTCTGCCAGCTTTCCCTGGAATTTGAATTCTCTATTAGTAATGAGCAAGACCAGGTCAGTTCTGATTTTTTTTTCTCATTAATTTATAAAAAAGTAATTTTCCTGGTTTAGGCTCTGCCAGCTTCCCCTGGCTAAGTCTGATGTCCCTCTTTGGAGAGCAGCGTTCCCTGCCGTAGCCAGTCATGTGGCAATTGAAATGCCTCTTGTAGGCATAAAGGTTAGAACATCCTCTGTCTTACTGGTTGCATACAGCAGAAGACAAGGAGGCAAATCCAAGTCTTGGCACCAAAAGCAACGTGTCCTGGTGCAGAGGGGAGAGATGTGCATTTTAGAACATCCTCTGTCTTACTGGTTGCATACAGCAGAAGGCAAGGAGGCAAATCCAAGTCTTGGCACTAAAAGCAACATGTCCCGGTGCAAAGGGGAGAGATGTGCACTGGGGACGGGGGTCTCTGACCCTCGCTGGAGAGCCGGTGTGGCTGAGGGACCCGTCGTGACACAAGGTCTGTCCTGGGTGTGGAGGGGACGGTGGTGCCACCTCTGTCTTACTGGTTGCATACAGCAGAAGGCAAGGAGGCAAATCCAAGTCTTGGCACTAAAAGCAACATGTCCCGGTGCAAAGGGGAGAGATGTGCACTGGGGACGGGGGTCTCTGACCCTCGCTGGAGAGCCGGTGTGGCTGAGGGACCCGTCGTGACACAAGGTCTGTCCTGGGTGTGGAGGGGACGGTGGTGCCAAGTGCCTGGGCTGGAGAGTGGGTTGCAGCTTTGGCAGGAGGAGAAGTGTGTGCTTTGGTCTTTGCCCACACATTTTGTGCTTTTCAGAGGGATGGCTAATGAAATCGGCTCTGCTGGAAGGCTTTGCCAGCCGGAACCCCTCCTGTGCATCTTATGACAACGTGCTAAAACATTAACGGGGCCAGAAAGTGCCAGTTGTCTGTGGCTGCGAAATGGTCTCACGTGCTCTTTCTTCTCATTCAAGGTGAGGGTCTGGCGTTACCTGAAAGGCAAAGACATCGTCACTCATGAGATCCTCTTGGACGGTGGCAACAAGGTGGTTATCGGAGGCTTCGGCGACCCCTTAATCTGCGACAACCAAGTCTCGACTGGAGACACGCGGATTTTCTTCGTCAACCCTGCCCCGCAGTACCTGTGGCCGGCGCACCGCAACGAGCTGATGCTGAACTCCAGCCTCATGCGGATAACGCTGCGGAACCTGGAAGAGGTGGAGCACTGCGTGGAAGGTGAGGCCGGGGCTTTCCCCGGGGTGCTCCGAGCGTACCGACAGGGCAAGCCAAGCCCTGGCTCCGTTGGCCACCTTGTCCTCTTGTAAATGATTGATCGGCAAATGCTCTCGCTGGTGGCGGGGCAGATCAGTCGAGCTGCTCTGTGGACTCACTCGTCGCGGGGTCGGTGCCCGGCGTTGACCTTGTTGTCACAGGCAGTGGTTGCAACCATGGCACAGCCAAGCAAAGTTAGTCGATGCTGCTTTTGCTCCAGATCTGATGCTGGTTCTCAGTCTCCCCCGTGCAGTAAGTCTGATGCGGTTGGAAGCATCCCTGCTGCAAGTCCTGTCGTGACACAAGTGTGTGGCAGGCGTTTGTGAGGGAATTTAGACTCCTCACACCTGAGTTACATTTTCCTGTAGGTTTAAAGGTAATAAGGTAATCCTGTGGTGAAGGCCTGTCCTTCAGGGTAGTCACTCCTGGCTTCCTCTGTCTCAGAGCTCCCTCGCTTGCTAAGTCAGCCTTGCAGACTCCCGAAGGGATCCATGAGCCAGCTTAGTTCTTCTTGGGGGTAAAGCTCGTTTCTCCAAGGTGTAACTAAGTCGGAACCCAGCTGAGAAGCTAAGTGATTTTAGAGGGGTATAAGGTGTGCTTCTACACTGTGGTGAAGCCCTGTAGCCCTTGCACGTTCAACTCTCTGGAGTCTTTGTGTCTGCTCCCAGCAGGGCTCGGAGGAGGAGGGTTGTAAAGTTGCGCGATGCTTCTGGAGTAGGTGTGCACGGCGTTGACTCGTAGCTATCCGTGAGACAACGTGAGGGATGCTGATGTGCCAGAGTGCTGCTGTGGGTGTGACAACATAGCTGTTGAGAAGAACTGAGAGGGCAACGACCTGAGGTGCTTTTTAATAGGGTTTTGGACCTCTGGATGTAGAGACATGCCTCCGTGGAGAATCGATCTTTCTTCTACTCGTTGCTCAACCCACTTGAAAACATGCTTCTGTAATTAACCCATTTGCTGGCTTTTTTCTTCCCCCTTTATGCTCATCCTGTGTTTCAGCAAGAGCTCCAAGCTCACTGGGGAATGTGGTGCCCCAAAAGCCCTTTGCTGGGGTCTGAGCATGTCCTGAGAGCAGATGAGTAAACACGGGAAGGAATGCAGGAATTCTGCACGGACAACAAATAAACATGCAGATTGGCTCCCTCCTCCCCTTGGATGTGCAGAGGAGAGGCCATAACCCCTTTTTCCAGCTGTGAATGCTGACAGAGGTAAATGACTGAACTCTTGGTCTGGAAGAGAGCTAGTTCAGCAAAGTGGCTCACAAGAGGCACCCGTCTCGAGTGGTTTTTGTAAGCGGGAGGGACACTGGAGGTTTTACCTATGTGTGTGTGTATATATATATATGTATTCCATATTGCACTTGAAAGGTATCAGTCCTGCTCCTTCTTTGCACCTAGTGGAGGGAGAGGTGTGTGTGTGTGTGGTTTTGTTAAACCTGAGCAAGCGTTTGGAAGAATTCTGTCTTCGCTAGCTTGCTCTGTTCTTTGGCTTGCTCGTTTTGCACACGCTTGATATGAACTGGGATGGCTGGGCTAGGTGGTTCCCATTTGTGATGAAAGATGTTGTCCCTTAAGGCCTGTGGGAGATGATGAGAGATGTAGTTTTCCTCCTTCGATGCTGTACCTTAGGAAAGATTTGCTTGGTGTTGCTCCCATGCTGTTGTGCAAGGGAGGTGAAGGTGCCAAAGCTGGGCATGTCTAAACTCTCTCCTTACTGTGTGCTTGAATTGCAGGTCCATGCAGTTATAGGTGGGTTTATCTTTCCTCCCTGCTGTGTTAACCTTTCTTGATGCCAGGTAGACGACTCACCGTGTGTGGTGGACCTGATTTCTCCAAACTGGTGTAGACTGTCCAGACGATGTTGCTGGAAATGACAAAGGCCAGGAAGCCTTTGGTTACCAATAGCTCGATCAAGTGCTGCTTGGTGGAGGTGCAGTGATTTTTATTCGTCGTTGAGCTGACTTAGCAGCTGCTTCCCTTGTCCTGTTGTATCCAGTGGGCTTGCTTTTTCTTCTTCCAACTTCTTGGAAGCTTGGTCATTGCATGAGTATCCCATATGCTGGGTGCTAGCAGGTTTGCTGGAGAGGGCATGGAACAAACTGACTCCCAGAACCTTGGTTTCCCTTGAGCTCTACTCAAAACTCTCTTGAGACCTGTGTAAGTCCCTTTGGGCTTGCCCAGTGCAGCTGCCTTGCTGACTTCTGGGAGGCCATGTAAAACCAGCCATGAGAACCTGCTCCTGCCATCCTGGGAACCATTTCCGAGCTCAGAGTCTGAGAATTTAGCTCCAGGACTTATTTCCCTTCAGCTCCCCACAGGAAGGCTCAAAGTAAAGCTGCCCAGAACACTGCTCTTTGAGTTTAAAAACAAACTTTTGAGTGCTTTTGCAGAAAGAATTGGAAGAATGGTGGCAGCTGAGTGGAAAAACATTAATGTTTTGCGTATCCTCATCTCCTGTTGCTCCAGCTTGGAAAAATCCTAGACATCAAAATCTTTCCTAAAAGGGAAGTTCAAACCAGGGCATCCCTGTGAAACAGCTCAGGTTAGAGTAAAACCAGCGTGTTTTTGATTACACTTAATTGTAGTAAAAATGCTTGGACTGGCTGTAATCAAAGTGCAAGGCTCTGCAAACTGGCTCAGCGCTGAAGGTGCCTGCAGGGCAGTTTTTTTTAGAGCTGATCAGCAGAGGAGCAGCTCTGGAGCTCACTCAGGAGGTTGGGACATGGGCTTGGACCTTGGGAAGTTTGCTCTGGTGCCTCTGTGGGGGGAGGCATGGAAGGCACGCAGGGCTGGCTAGCACCCGGAGTGGGTTACTTCTTGTTCAAGACATCTGGATGAGGCTTTCTGGGGAAAGAATCAGCCTGATAAGCCGCAGCCTTGCTGTTGACTGGCCCTGGTGTCTTTTTGTGCAGCTGTTGGAGCCTCCCAAGGCTCGGTGCGAGGTGCGGCGCTTTCCTCTCCTGGCTCTCCCCTGGCAATGCCATCGAGCAAGCTGCTCTTCTGGAATTAACAGCTGACTAAGCCCCGCAAGATCTTTTTCCCCCTTTGTGCGCGTCTCGTATTTCTCTTTGATCGCAACTGCGCTTGAAGAAAATCAAGATTTTTTTTTTTTTTTTGTGTGTTTGGTGTGGGAGGGGCAGCGCGGTGACTCCACGCTGAGCTGTCTGGGTGGAAGGAAGTTCTGATTAAACCTTTGTTAGGGCCTTGGTTAATGAGAACCCAGAGCTCCTTTCAAACAGCGCCTTGCTTGTGGCATGATTTGCATGAACACTGGTGCAATTGCCCCAGCTGAGGCTGCTTCGCTACCTTTGGAGATGAGTTTGGACTTTGAACTTCCTGGGAAAAGCCGTGTACAGTGGCTTTATAAGGCATAGTGAAACCTTGGGAGCATTGGGCGCAGTCGAGCGCAGGCTGTGGGAACAGAAGGGGCTGTTGGTGGCTTGAGAGCACATCGAGGGTCAATCCTCAGCCTTGAAATAATGGAATAATTCACATATGGGGAGTATTGCCCCCGAGACGGGCTGAGAAGCTTCTCCAGTGACATGGAAAGTGTGAGCCAAACTAGGAGCGTTGTTAAGCCTTTTGGTAAGGATGGATGTGCCCGTCTCGAGGTGCTGCTGTGAGGAGAACGCACAGGACTGTGAAATTCTTTTCCATATAGATGCCCGTAACGAAGCGAGCCGCTCTGGCTTGGGTTCGACATACAGTGTGCCGCAGATGCGCCATATGTGTAGAAATATCGTTTAGCTCTTACTGAAATTCTGCTTCTGGCCAGTCCAGAACTCTCTTCTGACCTTTTTAATCTCTGAGGCAACGCTATTAATTACTCCTGTAGAATTGCATCTAGTCCCACAGCCTCAATTCTCCCACGTTTTCTCCCATGTCCGCTTGGGAGCGGGTCTGCTTTGACAGCATCTCCCTTTAAGTTACACTGTCCGTTCCGTTTTGTCTTTTGCCCGTTCACTTTTATTCTGTCCTCTCTTTCTTTTTAGGTCTCTGCCTCCATAGGACTGAGACGTTTTGTTCTTGTAAACCAGCCCATGCAAAATTTTCTTTTCAGGCTCCTTGCAGAGACTGTAAGGCATGCACAGTAGGCTCCTCTCGGCAAGGAAATTGCTGGCATGGGTTTGTGGTAGGTGATTTGGGCTGTGGTCGCTTCCCATGCTCTGGTCTCTCTGCAGCCCTTCACCACCCCTGCAACTATTCCTTTTTAACCCATCCCTGGCATCTCATTGTGCTTCGGAACGGGTGAGGGAGGGGGCTGGAAGAGGGTTAGTGTGTGGGTTTCCTCTTAAAGAAGTGTGTGGTTTGGTTTTGTTTTTTTTTTTCTTCCCTCTTCTTGGCTCTGTTTCAAATTGGAGATAATGAGAACCCCGTCCTGCTCCCCATCCCTGGGCTGGGGTACCTCGGCTGGAGCAGATTTCATCCCAGACCTGCACTGGGAAGGGCAGGGATATACTGGTGCTACAGGGGTGATACTGGGGTTGGTGGGGCAGCAGCCAGCCTGCCCTCTCTGCAACCCTGGCCCCATTTTTGCATTTTTGGGCCACTTTCATGGGAGGCCCCAGCCATGGGCCAAGCACGAGGGTCTGCTTCCTCCCTGCCTCGTGTGGTAGCAATGCAAAACATCCCCTGGGTTTACGGCAGTAGCTAAGAGCGAGTCGATTTGTTTAGCAAATTCCTATGGAATTTTAATCTGGTGTGGGAGGCTACTGGCCTGGGAAGGCTCCTTTGGCCCCCACTTCCCACTCTGGCACGTCCCGCTGCATTTCTCCACGGGATTGGCTTGGTCGGCGCAGCCGGCGCGGATCTCGTCCGTTCTGACAAGCGCTGGGCCCTCGCCATGTGCTCTAGGGTCTGTTTCTGCTTTGTTTGGCCCCCTCATAACTTGGAGGGGGGGGACCGTGGCTTGGAGTCCGTTCTGCTACGGCAGGGGGGGGGGCGCCGCCCCCGATTCTGGCC